TAACTTTGCAACCAGTCAGTGGGGTTCGTTCGAACGTTGTGTCTGTTTTTGTTTTAAAGGCATTCGAACGTGATTTGTTGTTCGAATGTTGTCTTTGTCTTTGCTTTAAGGGCGTTTGAACGCTAGATGGGGTTTGAACCCCCTACTCAAGTGGCATGTGGTCTTCGTGATGGTTACTTCCATACATCTTGAACAACTTTGACCCTGCACTCAGCAACTTGGTCCTCAGTAACTCAAGACAACGTTCGAATGTGGATTGGAGTTCGAACATTGTACTCAAGTACTTCTGTGGTTTTTCTTTCTTTGCTACAACACGCCAGGTCTCAGTAGTCTAGTCTTCTCAGGATTCCAGAGCACGTTCGAACGTGGTATTCAAGTACCTCAGCATTTTCCCTTTTTGACTGCAACACGTCATGTCTCAGCAACCTGGTCTTCAATCACTTCAGGGGAACGTTCGAATGTTGATCCACGTTCGAACGTTTTTGCTTTGTTCCAAGCTTTTCCAATTTTGCCCCTTAATCCACTGGTGTTACATCCAAGTGTGATATTTGTTGTCCTTGAGCTCTTGTTCACTTTAGGACCTGAAATGTTATCATTTAAATTCTATCAAAGTATAATTAGTCCTAAAAAGGCATAATAATATGTAAATTTAAGTACTAATCATCACTTAGACGCAGTAAGAGGACAAGGACTTCCAAGTCCTATGGTTCAAATTTTCTAACTTATTTGTTAGAAAATGAGCCTCAAAGCTTCAATGAAAAAATGTCCACTCTTGAAACAACTATATGGGAAGAAGATGTAAAAAGTGAAATCGAATCCGTTATGCAAAATACACCTGGGAGTTGGTAAATCTTCCTCCATAGAGAAAACCATTGGGGTGTAAATAAATTTTCAAGAGAAAAATGAAAACTGATGGATCAATTGATAAGTACAATACTAGACTTGTAGCTAAAGGTTACAAACAAAAAGAAGGTCTTGATTACTTTGACACATATTCTTCTGTCACGAGAATAACATCTATTCTTATACTCATAGTTATTGCAGTGTTGCATAATCTTGAGATACACCAAATGGATGTGAAAACAATGACATGAGAAATTTATCAAGGTAATGATGTTAAATGACTTCACAATTAATGAATGTGATAAATGTGTCTATGTCAAAGACACAAATAATGGATAAGTCATTATTTGCCTATATGTGGATGATATACTTATTTTAGTTAGTAACAATAATATTATTACAGCTACCAAGAAAATATTGTCCAATAAATTTGACATGAAGGATTTGTGTGTTACAGATGTTATACTAGGAATTAAAATGTCTAGAACATCTGGTGGACTTATATTATCTTAATTTTTTTATATTGAGAAAATACTTAAGAAGTTCGACAAAGATGAAAACAATATTGCTAGAACACCTGTTAATATAAATCTTCATTTGTCTAAAAATACTGGCCAAAGCATATCATAATTGGAATACTCTCGTATCATTGGCAGTCTAATGTATGCCATGAATTATACTAGACCGGATATAGCATACTCAGTTACTAAATTGAATAAATATACAAGTAATCCGGGAGTAGACTATTGGAAGACAATTATCAGGATTCTTAGATACCTAAGATATACCCTAAATTTTGGATTGCACTATACAAGATATCCAACTGTACTTGAAGGGTATAATAATGCAAACTAGATATCTGATATGAAGGATACCAAATTCACAAGTGATTATGTTTTTACACTTGGTGGTACAGTTGTATCTTGAAAATCCTCTAAACAAATGTGTATTGTCAGATCCACAATGGAATCTGAATTTATTGCTTTAGATAAAACAAGAGGGGAAGCTAAGTGGCTTCGCCAATTTCTAGAGGATATTCTAATATGGCCTAAACTTGTGTCAGTAATTTGTATACATTGCGAGAGTCAATCTACAATTGGTAGGGTACAGAGTGACATGTATAATAGTAAGTTTAGACATATACATCATAGACATAATACTATTAGACAATTGCTCTCAAATGAAATTATTTCTATTGATTATATAAAGTCAAAAGATAATCTAGCGGATCCGCTTACTAAAGGTTTGACGAGAGAGTAAGTAAATTACACATTGAGGGGAATGAGATTAAAGTCGATGACACAAGAGTTACCTTAATGGAAACCCAAGTTAGTTGACTGGAGATCCCAAAATCTAGGTTCAAAGGGACAACCGAATTATGCGTGATTCAAAAGAAGCACTAAGGAGATAATCTCTCCTACCTATTCCTACGATAAACTAGTGTTGCATGCAAAGTTTATTAGAGTAAGCTATTTGTTTAATGACTCTTATACCTTGGAAAACCCAAATAGAATATTCCTGATAGTAGTCACCTATATAGGTGTGAGGGGGTCGTTTCTATGAGAATTTATAAAGGCTAAATTCTCTAAAACACTCATGAAAATTAGGAGTTGTTCAGGGTTAAAATGAACACAATCATGAGAACCAATTGTGTTAAGAAAGAGACCGTGTGAGGTCTGTTCAATCTAATTTGTCAAACAGTTGAATAGTTTAAGATATCACATTCACTATTTAATCGGTAAGTTCGATGGGTTTTCACTAGGGAAAGCTCAAGGCCAAAAACTACCTATCTTGATGCACGATCTTTTCAAAGATGTACTCTCTATAGTGTGTCAACATTATCATTTGTATACTAACAGCCAATTTTCTATTCATGTGGAGGATTGTTGGACCAAAACAGTTTTTTAAGTGTAAAAATTAAATTTTTGGTCGAGTTTAAGCCTAAATTAAAGTGAGACCCATTCGTTGTTTCGAGTGAAATTTCGTGGGTTCATATTCTACTCCGTGAGGAGAATAACATAAGATATTCACTTGCTCAAATTGAGTAACAAAATGAATGAAAAATATAGCCTCCAAAGTGACCTTATTGAAATGTGAAAATAAAGATTGTGCAATGTGAAATTTGACATCAATCTCACATTGGTTGAAGAAGAAATTGTATATGGACATATATAAGTCAAGCTTACTCTATGGGATTGGGCCCCAAGGGACACCACAATTTTATGAGCAGAGCAAGCACCGACATACTTTCGGTTCTACCACGCACGCGCGCCTCGCCACGACCTGACCCAGCCGGGCCAGGCTTAGGTACAGGTGTGGGTGGACCAAGCCCTATTTTTTTTTGGAGAAAATTCGTTTAATTAATTAGACAAGAATTTTTGAATCGAAATTAATTTTTGGTATCCGTTGGATCGGACTGGTTCAGATTTGTTGCTTCCCTCCAAACCAAAAATTGAGTTATATCTGTTCATAGAGAACAGTTACACAAGTTATGTCTTCTAGTTTCCATTTGTTTTCTGGATTGTGTCTTTTAGTTTGGTGGTTGTTCGAAAAGTCACCAAAATGTCTATAAATACTCAGGCTCTCATTATCATTCTGTATTTATTCATTCATCAATCCATATTCAGAGTAAATCTAAACATTAGTGTATTGCATTTTGGCATTAAGACAGTCTGCATTTAAGAATACATAACACAATTTCTAGTTCGTTGGATAAGTAAATTACAGTGCTATTTCTACTCGTGTAAAAATCATTATATCTTGGGAAGCAAACGCTTAATATTCATAAACACCGTGTGTGGGGGCAAAATCTGTTTTAAAGACATAGTATCAAACACTAGCCTTGATCTATATCAAGTTCAATAACAATTCATGTTCTATAACCGGGTTAGTATTTATATTAGTTTAACAAACAACTGTTGTTACTGTTTCGTTAAAACTATAATAACTATTTCTATATTCTGTGTAACTGTTTCGCATTTGATTGTTACTGTTTTGTTATATATTACATGCTTCAAATTAGAAATTTCAATATTTAAAATACTACAAACAACACAAACTATATCAGGTTGACAAAGAGAAGAAGCAAATCAAATTGATTGAGAGATAGTAGATCTGCTCGAGAGACAGAGCAGATCCGATGTCTCCCATCCCTATATCCCAATGAAGATGATATATATTCTTCATGTAGAATTTAATACGACACACATCAGACATATATACCACATACACAGAGAGAGAGAGAGAGAAGCAAACCTGGTAGGGCTGTTCAGATGAGAGCTGTGTCGTTCACGGAAACAAGGGGTAGTGGGAAAGTGAAAGTGAAAATATAGATAAAAACCCCAAATTAGTTACCGTAGAGGGTATTTTAGTTATTTTGCAACTAATCCTACCTTTGCACTTTACAATCCCACACTTGACATGGGATACATGAATCCGGGTAAGAGATGATTGAGGCCTTTAAAAGCTACGGTCCAAGTTTTTGAAGAACAACGAATATTTCATCCCAAAAATTTGGCCAAAGCAACGATATGTGGTCCCCTTCACAATTTTAACCCAATCCCCCCTATAATCCCTCTAAATTCCACGATCCAAACTACCCCCTAGGGTTTCCTACATGTTATCTCACCAGTATTTTTCTGTCTCTTCAACATCCCGTGTGGATTTCAGGCAACAGCAAAAGCCCACTTCGGCGACAGCATCTTTTTCTGACTAAATGCGCAAAAAACTCTCACCAACCTCCCAAAACTCCCCCTACTCTACCTGTTCTTGACACTCAAAATTTTATTAAACCACTCTCTCTTTCTCTCTCTCTCTCTCTCTCCCACTTCCCAGTGTGTGACTGCATTTTCGGCTTCAAACCTGTATAGAACTGCCACAGACCACCTCAAAAGATGGACTCACCCCAATTTCAGCTCTGTTTTTAAACCCATTTTGTCCGCTTCATCATTTCAGCTACTGTCAAATCATACTCGCATTCAACATCTGCTTATGTAGATAGTTATCAGAATGATCGTGTGATCACAAAAACTGCGTACGGTGGTGCACCTTCTCAGCATGGATCAAATGTATGATAATCTGATAAACAAGTTCAAAAGTATGATAATTTGGTAAATAAGTTTTACAATAATCGTAATGGGATACATAATTCAACAGATCTTCAAAAACCCCATCATTATAAATAATGCTCAATGTAATTCAATAGAGTGCATAAAATGTTAGAAGATAATGAAGGGACTACATAACCTCCAGACTGCAAAATAAATATCCCAAGCTGCTGGCAAAAGCTTGGAAGAAAAAGGATGATCACGGTACAAGCCTAGATCTACCAAAAGTCAACGATGACAACCATCAATCCAATTCTCTATTTTTTAGCACCATTGGGTAGTTCAGTGGAGTCTCCTTCAGCTTGATTGAGCTCATCCCATGCTTCAATCCATGTGAGCATCGCATCTGCCAGCTTAATGAAGTAATCATCCACCTTACCAAGCTTCGCTCTGACTTGCTTGGAGAGTTCAATGTAGCATTTCTGAACAGTGGTGCACTCCTCCGTAAGAGTTGCAGCTTGGAAAAATGGGATCAGCTCCTCTTGCCAGTAGATACCTTTATATTCCTTCTTAAGGTTCACGAAGGGGTTGCTCGCTTTGCTGTGCCAGATGTAGGGAAGACCCGTCTTCACTCCCAATTCCAAGTGGTCACATATCACCTACACCGAGGATAAATCAAAAGCCATGAACAATTACAAAAACTGTGACCACTAAGTGCCAAAACAGGTTTTAAAGCAACAAAAGTGGCTAGCATAATGGAAGGAACTACGAAATGTAGACTGACTAACAACAATATGAAAAATACCTTCATGCACCAACCAGCCCACATGTCATCGTAGCGTCCAATGGGCTGGCCATCACCCATGAGTCCAAAGTACATTGCAGGGCCGATCAATTCACGATTGAATGCCAGATTCATACCACACATCGGGAAGAGGGTTCCCTTTGGTATTGTCAGGACTGCATCAACAAACCTGAAAATGATGGCATAGAATTAATAACCTAATTAAAGGTGCACAATTTAAACATTTAAACATTACAAAGCAAGATTGGTCTTGTACCTAGTGTTTCTCTCACGAGGCTTGACAAGCTGGGTAGGGGCATCATAATCTGGGATGTTGAGCCAGAGGCCATGGGAAACTGCAGTAGGAACGCCTTCACGCAGGCTAAATGGGTAGCCACGGACGAAATCCGCACCTTCTCGGTATGGATCATACAGGGTATTGAAGAAAAATGGAGTTGATGGGGTCAACAGGTTCTTGATGTGTTGCTCAAGTGCATTAATCTCTTTGCCAGATGGATCTTTGGCAACCTGTGAATCAAAAAAGAATTCCCGACATCACAACCCCATAGCATATTCCCCGACCTCAAAATATTGCAGAGACCAACTCAAATGGACAATAGCAAAGGCTGTATAATACTTAATAACGCAAGTTCAGAGAGGAATTTACAAACTACATGCACGACTTATTAGGGATCATATTATTTGCACATAAAAAAGACATATATTCTAAACAAAAAAGAGTGTTGGGGGTGGGGATGGGGGAGAGACAGAGACAGAGAGAAATGCAGATCAAATCAAGGTGGTACCAAAAACAAAATTTTAAAAAAAAAAAACAGATAGAAAACAAAACATATGAGGGAGAACAATAAATCCAGATCCAGTTTGACCAACACCATTGCAGACTCAAAGCACGAAGTCAATTATTTATAACCCATAAACAACACAAAATTCAAAACAAACCACAAATCAAAATCCAACCTTCACATAAAAACTACAATCATATCACAATTGGATAGATCAAAACACCAAAACCTATAAATGCACTACATAAAACACATCAAAATTCAAACTTCAATACCAAACCCACATACGATCGAACTACCCAACCAAAACAAATTCCAAAAGAGTATTTAAAAAGAGAGGCTCAGTCTTACAAAGCAATCATCATCGATTGTGAAGATGTACTTCTTCTTGGAGACCATATAACCGAAGCAACGGCAAGCGGAGTCCTTGAAGGATATGCAGGAGGCTTTAGGACCCAGAATTCTGTTGATGTCATTTCGATTGTAGAGCTCATAGTCGAATCCTTCTGGGACCTTGATAACCTTTGATGGGTCGCCGTCTTGAACAATGATCAGATGGTACGGTTGAAAGAAAGGCCTCCACATCTCCAAAAAATCTAGGTTTCGGATTGTGGGTATCACTATGTCTAACTCATCTTTCAGAAGGGGGGTGGGAGAGACAGAGGTTTCGGCCATGGTGGAGTGTGAGAGATTGGATCAGGGGTGAGTTTTGACACAGAGACAGAGAAGGGGTGTTGAATTTCGATGGAGGCGCACTATATGAAACTCCACAGCGACTGGAGACACGCTACTACTAGTGCGACTGGAGTAGGTTTTCTCATGCAAAAAAAAGGTGAAAAATAAATAAATAATTTCCTTTCAAGAAAATGGAAAAATGTTAACTAAAATTCTTGTATTTTCTAGGACAGTAGAAGGTTGACAAAATGACAACTGACATCCAATTGATCGTTGTTCCAATTACAAAAACTGAAAATTGGCTCCTCTCTTTTGGGGAGTTTTACGGCGGTACGTAGGAGTACTAAAAGCTATTTTTTTTAAGATTAATTTATAATTTTTTGAAATATAAATTATAACTTTAAAAAATATAATTAATTATAAAATATTGGGATCAAAATTGCGTTTTTTATAATCGATTATAGGTGTCTGTAATTGATCACGACTTCTCTTGAATAATTATAACTTTTTTTTTTAAAGTTATAATTTTATCATATAAAATAATAATCGATAGCACCAATACCAAAATTATTTTTTTTTGTAACGTAGAATTTTCCCTCTCTTTTTAATGGGGATGTTAGACAAAAGTCATGCACCTGCACACCATACCGTAACGTTATGCAAGCCACATATCAATTAAATTGCTACGTTTTTCATAAAATAGAGGACATCCATTAAATAGAGATGATACATTTGTAAACTAACCCGAAGATGGCAATTTCTAGGTGTGGCAATTTTATGATATGCAACACATAAATATGATTTAAAATTAATACAAAATTAATAAGTTAAGATTAATTATTTTTTAACACGAACTTAAAGATGACATGATATGTGTTTACATCCAAAATAATAAATTTCATGGTGACAAATAGAAGCAATTTGATGGTCATAAAAGAGTCTATAAGAGTCTATACTTGATAGGGTGGTTAAGGAAGTGAGACTCTTAAAATCCCGATAAACAATGAAACGTGACATCATGAGTTGTCTATTATAGACGATTCGATACACATTTGCACATCTAGATGGAAGATATCATGATTTCAGTTATTACCAAACCACATGGCTTTGATAGTTATGGGTCATCTCCTATGAATAACAAAGGCAAGGCTACAGAAAAGGGATTCTCAATCAACAAAATAACTCTACACAGAGCTAACATCTATGTTGTTTAGTTTACTTCCCAACAATCTTACTTTAGCCTATAACCAATCACTCTAGTGAAATTTACATTTCCATTTATTGTCAAACATATTTTTTAGCACGCCTATTGGGACCAAGTAAGAACATGATGAACACTCGTAGAAAAGCCAAAATTGGCTCATCATAAGTACCTTCAGTGCACGAGGATGTTGAAGATGGCAGGTCTAGCATCCTCAACCTGCAAGAAGATTTGCCTCTACTCGGTGGTTAAGAAAATTGAGAATTCGACTCAGAGTCGGTGGCTTCGATTAGAATGTTGTCATAGGAAGTCTCTCAACAAGTGTCCAAGTTCATCAATGGTCAAGGAGACTTGATCGAGAAAAATTTGGCTGCACAAGGTAGGCAGTGTAGTGACTGCTTGACAATTTCAACTATCTATGAGGCACATGGCAACCACTATTTTCCCTTATACAAGTAGTACCCACGAAGGCACCACAACTAGTGGTTCCTCCGTATGTGCCGCCCCCCAAGGGCCCAGCAAGCCAGAAATGGCCATTGGAAAAATAATAATCTTTTTTTTCAAGAGGACATGGCCCCCCAATCCTGAGTTTGGGCGGCATACGAGGTAGCCTCCTTTGTTCTACCAATGGCACCTCAGTTGGTCATGAACAAGACCAATTAGACAAAATTATCTAAGAACATGGCAGCCTTACCATAAGACACATGACTAGGTCAACATACCAAAAACCATACCCTGACTGGGTAGACAGGGAATATAAGTATCCTTGGGAATACAATGTCCCAGTGTTTGTAGCTTTCTCGGGAGAAGACGGTCAATCAAATGTAAAGCATATCAGCTGCTTTACCGTGCAATGTGGTGAAGCAGGAGCGAATGAGTTTATGAAATTAAGGTCATTCGCTGATTCCTTGACTAAGGCGCCCTTCAGATGGTATATTGATTTACCGCCTAACTTCGTGTTACACTGGCAGCAACTAGAAGACAAGTTTCATGCCCAATTTTCCTGCACTAAATCTAAAGTAATAATGGCCGATTTGTCCAAATTATACCAATGACGTGTTTCAAAAAGGCTAGGTATAGGTTTAGATTGGTCTTGCCTGAGATGGAGTACATGTGCATTGTGCAAAATGATCTAGGTTTGAACTCCAAAAGAAATTTGAAGGAATGGAGTTCAATGAACTATTCGAGTTGGCAATGCAGGCCACGCGATATGAGTAGATACTACGAGAGGAGCCGAATCAAAGAAATGCATCCAAGGATATGTATTACCTAGATCCCAATACAAAGGTCCTCATGGTCGAACCAGACTAAGAGTTGGAGGTGAACATGGCAAAGCTAGTGGCTAGATGGCCACATGTATGCAAGGCTTTAGCCAGGGCCTTAAAGAATTTGGTACAAGCTTTTTCTAGCACTGATAAAAAAGTTGCTGAAGGCAATAGTTGAAAGTATGACTTCGACATTTTGAAGGTCAACCATATCTTTTACCATCTACTTGTTAACGATATTATCAAGCTATCTTTTGGTCACTGGATTCCTTCGGCCGCATAGCTAAAGAACTAGACATATTGTAAATGGCATAATCAGTGAAGTCATTCTACTAATAACTATGTGGTATTTCATAATGCCATTCAGGACAACCTAACTAAAGGCCATTTGATCTTCGGAGATAAAAGGAAACCAAAGATGCAAGTTGACAAGGATAATTAAAAACCCTATGAAAGAAGTTAGATTTGAGCATTAGAAAGATTAGGGAGCAAAAAAGCCCAGTGACGAGAATGGCATTTCCCTTAAAGACAAGTCTTCGGAAGAAGATCCCCGGAAGAAGTTTGGCTATTCAGTTGTGGTCAAGGAGCAGTTTGATATGATCAACAAAGGCCTTTGCCCTAAGTGAAAGGCTTACTATGGACTCACTACAGGTAAGGAGTAATGTGAGAAAACAAGCGAGTGGCTATGAAAAAGGTGGCATGACAAAGCCCTCCAGTGGGAGTGGTCAAGTGAGTGGTCGTTGCCTAAGTGGGATTATGAAGATAGGCCCAAAAAATTCATGAGGTCGAGCTACAAAGAGCATGACAGGGATGTTCCAGAACTATTGTGAGGCCTCCCAAGGCCTAGATACAAATAATTTGCCATGAAAATAACCCCTGATCAGACCATCAGAACTGAGGGGTATCAAGATTGACCTAGGATGATTAAACCAACTAAGACCTTGGAAGGTAGTTGGTATGTGGCCCATCATCCAAAGTTCCCATAGTATCACCCGTCAACAACTATTGTCCAAAACCCAAAAGCACAGGAAGCATATCTAAGCAGACCTGCACAAGTGGTAGGATTTCAGGAGTAAGATGCCCAAGAGGTGTGAGAGACTTTCCAACGAAAATATCCCGATGTTAGGGCTATCAAGTCTCAATTTAGTATTTCTCTACCTCCACAGTGTGCAGTGACTCCAAATAAGGGGGAAATTATCCATGGGGAAAACTCGGTTTAGATCTGCGAAAGTCACGGAGACCATCTACTTTTCATTTTTCTTCTTTACCATAAATGTATTGGAGAGCCAAGTTGGATAGCGTACCTCTATTATTGATTGTTCCTCCAGTTGCTTTATCACTTACTCATTCCTAGCCTCAGTGTATTGAAGCAAAGACCTTCGCTGTTTTTTCTTTATTGGTTTGAACCTCGGGTCAACGTTCAGGTGATATGAAAAAACATTGGGATCGATGCCTGACATTTTATAGGGCATCCATGGATACACATCGACATTATTCTTCGGAGATTTTCTAGGGATTCCCCTTCTTTTTTTAGTTAGTAACAAACCAACAAAAAAGAATCTATTGGTCTCAAGTTCATCTATATTGATGGTTCATAGGTCTTCCACAACATGTTCAGCTGGACCTACCATAGGTTCAAACTTAAATTGCTACTTTGAAGAGTTGGATGTCAACTTGGGGTCCTAATGTGGTCCTTCTATAGTCCTTTCTTTTACTATCACGAACAAACAAGCACGCGAGCTGACTTGATCCCTCGAATGTCACTATCCCTTTTTACACAAGGAACCAAGTTTTGATGGTAGGTTGATGGCACCACCCTAATCTTATGTAGCCGATTACGCCCTCACGATAATGTTATAAGATGACTCTACCTTGATGACTAGAAACTCGGTCATCACACCAACCAACCCTACATGAATCAACAAGGTGATCTTTCCTTTAGGCAAAACTACTGTGCAGCTAAATCCTACCAGTGGCGCATAAACTGGTTTTACATCCTCCTCCTTCAAGCCAAGTTTTTCAAATAACCTTGTATAAATCACCTCGTAAGAACTCCTTGGTTAATGAAGATTCACCTAACATCAAAGTTAGCCAGAATTAGAGTCATGATTAAGGCATCATTGTGATGGTGGTGAATCTCAACCAAATCATAATTGGAGAAACTAATCATCTCCAAACGTAAACCATTTGAGGTTTTTTGTTAGCATGTTTAGTTGAGGGACCAAATTGAAAAATTTCTCTAATGTGTCCAGCCTTCCTGACAAATTTCTCTAACGTGTGCAGCCTTTTGAATATAAGCCCTAACAACTTTATTTGTTGACATGTTCTGGTCTTAGGCAGCGTAAATTATATCAATCACCCCTCCGGGGTCCTGTACTTGGCCTCACTTCGTCTTCTTCTTTTCATTTATCTTAGTCTCTTTTTTTTGGGTCTATGAAGTACGAAAGGTGTGCCTTACGAACGAGTTCCTCAAGGTGCTATTTTGGGGAGTGACAATTCTTCATCACGTGTCCAATACCGCGATGATAGTAACACCTCAAATTGGGATTCCTCTTCTTGGGATCTCCTCCTTACTTGTTAGGCCAATTGAAATATGACTTTCATTTGATTTGGGATAGAATTCTATAGATCAGCTCCTTGAAAATAGTATTAACTCAGAAAAATGCCGATCATGGTTGGAACTCTACCTTATCCTTCCCCTTTGTCTCAAATCGTAGCTGGTGGGATCTCTCTTTTCCATTAGCTTTTGTTGTAAGGGTAGGAATTATAGTTAAATTTTTAATGGAGATTAAAGGTAATTCTACAATCCTGTATTTTAGGGTATCAATATTAGTTTGGAAGTATTATGGAGAGTTATGCCATTATGCTCAAGGTAGAATTAACATTAAAGGAGAAAAACTAATTTGGTACATTTGGATTATTTGAATTATTAGAAAGGCAATAAGCAGTAGATTGATTGATAACGATGTGATTAGACAACCTTATTTTATTGTGAGTTTCTCTCAATACACTTAACAAGTATTAATTAATTAAAAATCGGGAATCCATTGGTTGAGTGTGGGGTTGACAGCTCACTCTTACTCATATATGGATAAAAAATTAGGGCAATGGTAAAGAAACATAGGAGGATAAAATTTTCCTCTCAATATTGAAGGCCCCAAAGATAATAGTGTTCATAGTGAGGTGTTTACGTAACTCACTTTCCCTAGGGAGGCCCAAACAAAAGAGATAGCAGTGCTTTTCTCATCACCAACGTCGACATAAGTCTCCAAGTACGTTGTGGCGTACTCGCAGAGAGTCTCTCCTCATTTTTGGCATAATGCCAAGAGTGTGTCAATTGTCATTGGCTCTTGGCCGTTGGCTATGAATCAAGAGACGAACACCTTAGCAAGTTACTCCCAAAAGAAGATCGAGTTCACAGGCATCCCATGGAACCACTTAAGAGCCGAGTTTCCCAAGCTGGAGGAGAACATTTTGCACATCAACGCCTCATTGCTTGTCTAGATGGTCATCTTGTTAATAAAGGCTCCTATGTGGAGCACGGAATTGCACTTGCCATCATATAACTCGAAAGTCGGAGGAGTAAAATTTTGTGGGGTTCAGATTCTCATATAGACCGAACAAAAGGTGTGGTAGTCATCTTTGCGAGGGTCTGCCTCTCCCTCTCCTTCGCTAAATATATGAGGCCATCTTGAGAGAAGTCATGTTGCAACTGAGTGGCTACTTGACGAGTTGTCTCAGAGCGCCTATTTTTCTCTATTTGATAGTCGTCGTCCTAGTGGTCTTTCTTGTGATATTGAGATGAACTCTCATGCCAATCCCCTTGCTTCGTAGGACGACATTGTTTACGTGTTTCTTCTTTTTCCCTATGATAAGGATGATTATGCCTCGAAGAAGGGTCTCTAAAGGTGCAGTGGATAACATTTTACCTTGGTATGTACCTTCTTCAACTTTGATTATGAGTCAAATAGCTCCTTGTTGGAGAACGGCTCCTACGTCGGGAGGAAATGGTTTCATCAAAGTGATCGTCCCAACAATCAAAGTTATGGGTTTGATGTTTGACCATGTCGCTTGCCACTCTAATGTAGGGTGGCCTTGCTTGAGAACTTCTAATTCCTCTATTTTCTTCCTTATTGCCTCATGATAATCCACATCAGTAGCTAACTCGCCTTCTATACCAAGGGTAGGTATGTTGCGATGAGAAGGATTTTTTTTCATTAGAGTGGTCATGTCCATCACGAGGTAGTACGTCCACTATTAATTGGAGGTCATAGTTAGTGGGATCTTCAAGGATTGAGGGTAGTGGAAATAGAGTGCTACTAGTTCCAGGATCGAGGGTTTTCTTGCTCGACATGGTTCAAGGCTTTTTGGTTGGTAGAAAATCTAGTCGTTTCTCATAGACGACGTCGAAAATAATTTCACACAATGAGTAACCACCTCATATAGACTAAGAAGGTGGTGAGTAAGTCTTGAGGAACCTGCAAGACAAGAAAACATCTTGGTGAACCAATGGCCAAAGTTGGCCAAAGGGACTCTGATGTTTAATTAAAGTAGCAAATCAAAGAAGAGTATAGAGTGAATAAACTAGGATTGAATAAATTACTTGGTACTCGAGACGTTTATTTGTAGTGGTAAGAAGTTGTATTCTAAAGACTTCAAACTGTAGGTTGTGATAAGATAAATCTCATCATCAATTTCTAAAGTGGCTTTGTATTTTATTTTGTGAGTCCTATTAAAGTGGTTTTGTGTTTTATTTTATTAAATTATTTTGTTTTTAGTTTTTAGATTTTAGGATCCATGTATTACGAGGGACTAGTAATATTCAGGTTGGGGGGTGTGATTAACCATCAAAATTATTATTTTATTATAATTAATGATTGATTAATTACATATTATTTATGATTAAATGTGTTAAATTCCTTAATTTTTTAGTTTGATACTTTTTCTAGTTGTTTGGTTTATTTTGCTGGTAAATTGGTTGATTTAAAGTAATAATGAATAATGCAAGTGAAACAATCACTAGAGGAAGAATGATAACTAATAAGGATTGAAGAGTCAAGATTTGAGATTGAAAGACTTAAAGATATGACAACAATTTAATCCTTATAAGAGTCCAAGTTGGAAGAAAACTCATTTAGAGTTGGATTAGGAAAGTGTTCAAGAAGAAAAAGATTTGACACGTCTTCAGTATTTTGGTCATAACTTTTGAATTTGATATTCGATTTACTTAATATTTGGGGGTTAAAAAGAAGACTTCAAAGGCTACAAAAGTGTATTTCACGAAATTTTCATGATTCAACCTCCAAAATATACGAATTTCAAGTTCGAAATCTGGACAGATTTTATACCCGCGTCCCAAAGATTTTATGCACGGGATTTAATCTTAGAAGACTTCTTTTTTGAAAAAGAATTCCTTTCAACCTATACTTAGGATTTATTATTAGTATAAATAGGGGTTCTCATTTAGAGATTATTTATTCTTTTTCCCATCTTTTTATTTTTTTTTTAGTTCATTATGTCTAACTAGAAGGCTAAACTAGAGTTAGGGGAAAACCTTTTAATGAAGTACGGTAATATTATTGATTCTGAATTTAATAATTTATAATATTTTTTTAATTTAACTTCTGATTTCTTAGTAAAGTTTTTATTCTATAAAAATCTTTGAGTCGTTATGCTATGTACATCGATTGCTTGAATTTTCCTGTAAGTAAATAACTGGTTATTCCACGTTTGAAATACACTTCTGTGATTGCTTTTTGTTACAATTCTCTGTGGTTCAATCTCGAATTTTTGAGTATTATATTATTTCGCAACAACCTGCACTTGAATGATCAATTCTAAATTTGTAGCAGGGGTCTTGCTCCTAGATCCCTTATCCCCAGCTCCTAGATGGTCGAAGTAGTATTTAACAAGGACTATGGGTCCAAAGCTAGACATTAACTGAATAGAACTCGTCCCATGAAAACGGACAATTTAGAAGAGCCTTCGTTGAGTACCTCTTGCCAAGTATAGTGCCAGTCGATCGGCACTTTTTTTGGCAGCTACCAAACATGTGTCTATGAAAGTATAGTGCAATTCCATGTTCTGTCGGTCGGCACTTTTGTCGGTCAGCACTGAATTACCGAAAAGGAACTCCTACACAAGGTACATGTTATACAAATAAAATATTTGCGGAAGGTGGCTAATATGACAATGTTAATCATGTATTTTAAGGGAAAATTTTGTGTTGACAAACTTGAAAAATTACGATAGCTTGATTAGGGAATTTTTTATTGCCAACTCAGTTTTCTCCGGTATATCACGGGAATAGTATTGAACCTCTTTGCTAAGTGATTCTTTCCACATTAAGAGGGTAAACCTATGGGTGATTAGATCAAAAGATATACATATATTGAATAATTTAATTATTCAATTTACGTCTAATTAAGAGATTTATCAAGTTTTACTATAACAATTTTTTTGAGATCGCTAAATTTGAACTATGCATAGTCATTCATTTCAATATAATTATAATGGTATGACTTTCCATGTGTCATGGTTAGATTAGACGAAAAAAGTATGATATCAAAAAGATAATTGTTCCATAGCAAAATTCAATCCGGAACTGAGTCCCAGGAGAAATCAGTGTTTGTCCGTACAAAATTTAAAAATGCCGGTGTATCCGAGTAAATGAATAAAGGATCCTGGAAAATGAAAAGTACACGATGGCACTTGAGGGACCGGCGTTTACGGCACGAAGGGCGGAGTTCGAAGGGACCTGTCGGAATGCTAATGGTTGGGGTCCCAGGGGCGAATTCTTCAAAGTCGCCGACGCTTTTGTGTTTGGACCAATGTGCATGACAACTGTGTTAATGTCCATTGACCCTACCAACTTTCCATATGAAACGTGGCGCCTTAGCACGTAATAACCAATTTTTTCTGCTTCATTATTTGGTCGTGTTCATTACTCTCTTGCACTGCTGTCGTCCGTCGGTGTCTTCAAAACTGTGTTTCCATTAACCCTCTGAAATCAAATAAAGAAAGGTATGTTTGGATGATCCACACAAAAGATTGGATTAACGATGGACAACTGTGTTCATGCTGGTCTTAATTTTTATGTTGATAGTAGGTGATAAGTTCGAAATTAACTGAGTCAAGTCCAATAAAAATAAACCAAAAAAGTTCAAAGAAAAGTTTAAGAACAGATGGATCAACCATGGAGTTATGTGAGAATCCAAAACAGAGACCAAGCTCATCCTCAAAGGGGGCGCCACCCAAGGGACCAAATGGGTGCCGCCCAGGGTGCCCAAGGGGCGTCACCCATGTGGCCTCAAGTGGGCGCCGACCATGCCTTGCCCATCATCCCCTCCTCACTTTACTCCAATGCAAGTCCAAGATCACTCCGGGTCTAAGCCCAAAGTCAAGTACGAGCTCAGTCCAGTTCAACACCCGCCTCCGAAGAAATAGGAACACGAGGGAGAAAATATTGGAATAGGCACGGAGATCTCCTACCATAGTTGTACTTACTAAAACAGTAGAAGTCTTCCTCTTCACGTCACCACCTCACCGCCTCATTACACCTATATAATGTAAGTCCTCTCTAGATAAAGGGCATGCTCTCATAACCTTGAGATCTCTACATACACTACACCTTCCTATACGCAATGCTCTCTCTCTCCTCTCTCTCTCTCTCCAAAGTATTGTAATACTCCTGGAGAATACTCATTCCGATGACTTCACTCATTAATAAAAGATTCAGGCCACCACTGTCGTTCTCGAGAGTGGAGTAGGTCATCCGGACCGAACCACTATAAGCCTTTGTGTTTTCTCCTTATTTACTGCTTTAATTATTTATTGTCATTGATTGTTTGTTATTGCTTACTAATTGCACTCGTTCGTATACTTGACTGTTGATCTTGCGCGAAGACAATTTTGTGCATCATCAATTTGGTGCCGTCTGTGGGAAAGACTAATTTTCTACTCTTACTCAATCCATGGCAATCACTACCCGATCTATAAGCCAGCAACCAGGACACAACAACCCAGCTCATCGGGAAGAGGCTTCGCCTCCCCTCGCACCATCGAAACCATCTACTACGACGACCCCCGTCGTTGGACAACAACTTCTACAGATTATGCAACTGCTGGTAAAACAGAACCAGCAGATCATCCAATTAATGCTCACCCAAGGAGGTGTCGCCCCTCACCGTATAGGAGGAGCCTCACTCCCTCCAACAGGAGAGGAGCAACAACCCTTCCCTCCTGGGTGTCAGGCAGCCCCTCACCATGGGGGCCCTCGCCAGAATGCCCCAAGGCCACACCAGGGCGCCCCTCGCCCAGTAGTCCCTCCTCAACGCGCAAGGAGCTCACATGTTCCCCCTGCACACATACCTGCACAGGAGGACAAAGAAGGAGAGAGCCAATATGGGAACCATGGAAGCCAGAACCACCACCTGACAGAGGACGTCCCCAACCAATGGGACAAGAAGATCAAAGAGGTACAAAACCAACTTGGCAGCGCCCTCAACGCAATCAAGGCCCAGGCGCCTGAAATCGTGACTACTTGGTAAGGTGCACCGATACCCCTTTCATTGCTGATATCGTTAACTACCCCCTACCCTTGAAGTTCAAGATGTCCACTATCGAGATCTTTGATGGCACAAAGGACCCCCTAGACCACCTAGATACCTACAAATCCCTTATGCAACTCCACAATGTGCCTAAAGAGATAATGTGTAGAGATTTTCTTACCACCTTGAAGGGGTCTACTCACCAGTTGTTCTCCAAGCTCAGGCCCTCCTCCATCCGCTCCTTCGCTGAGCTCAGCAAGTCCTTCGTCTCCCACTTCACTAGGGGACGCCGACATTAAAAACCAGTAACCCACTTGCTCACCATCAAACAGGACAAGGATGAAAGCCTTAGAGATTACCTTGCCCGCTTCAATGAGGAGATCCTCTAGGTTGAGGAGCCAGATGATAATGTTGCTCTGGTTGCCTTTATCGCCAGCGTCTGCACCTCCAGCTTCATGTTTTTAGTCCTTAAGAAGCAGCCCTCCAACATGCCCGAGCTACTGTCAAGGGCACAAAAGTATATGAACGCCGAGGATGTCACCAAGGCCAGACGAGGTGAGTCCTCCCACGGAAGCGAAAAGAGAAAGAATACCCGCGAAGACAGGAGATAAACAAAGAATAAGAGAAATAGGATAGAGAAAATCTCTGTCAAGGACCGCCTTGGTCCCCCACCTCTGAGAGAACGACAGACATTCACGCCGCTCAATGCTTCGGTGGGGCATATCATGTTCCAAATACAGGATAACCCCACACTTTGTTGGCCCGAAAAAATAAAGTACGCCCCAAACCGAAGGAGCCGGAACAAGTACTGCCGCTTCTACCGCGACCATGTCCACAACATAGACGACTGTTTTGATCTTAAAAGGCAGATCGAGGATCTCATACAACGTGGCTAGTTGAGGTAGTACTTTGCTGGCAGAGGGCAAGCCCCACCAACTAGTCGGGACCAAGGCCACAGAGAATGCCCGCAGCCCCTCGGAGAAATTTAGACAATCTCCTGAGGGCTAAGAGGAGGAGACAACTCCAACTCCACCAGGAAAGTCTTGGCCCACCTATGGGAAACCGACGAGCACCTGAAATTTTATCTATCATTTATTGTTTTAGTTAATTTATTTTGTTATTTGTTATTATTTTATGAAATAAAACTCTGTGAAGATTATTGTGCCCGAATTGTCTTCCTAAAATTTACAAATAGCTTACAAAAGTCAGAACATGACCTAACAACAAGGAAGACAAAAATATGAAAAGTACCATCACCAGGTGCCCAAACGAGGGGTCTCGCCCTCTCTACCTTGGACGTCTCCCATGCTTGGACTATGACTCTGCTCTTGCACAAGTCACCTACTAAGCTTCTGCCACGGCAACCATCTCCCGAAACTATACGTAGCTCGGCCTATGACTCTGCTCTCCTTCAAGTCACCTAGTAAACCTCTGCCACGACAGCCATCTCCCAAGACTATACGTAGCTCTACCTCAGCTCATGCGGCCCTCTCACGGGACATCCACAGCTCTGACGTTACTCTCATACAAACAACCTACCCCTCTCTCCAGGTAATCATGTTAGATATTTTAATGTTGAGATAACATTGTTTTTTCCATGCACACAGTTGAAGCTCAGGTCGTTTGCAACCGAGCCACTACTAGAAGTAGGGTCAAGCCACAGTCCCCGTAAAAATTACAATGTAGCTTCAACTCCTACATCGGTACAAGGACTAATTCTAATACACATAGAAGCCTCAATCTGGGAAAGAGCAGGGGCACCACCGAATCCTGCTCCCATGAAACAACCTGGTCATCAGACCTTGGCCGAAAAGTACTGGGGGCATAAAACCTCGTCCTCTTGAGAGGAGGACAAGACATCACCCTAAAAGCACAAGAGTCTCCACCATCACTCTATCAACAGGGGGCCTATAATTAGAGACAAGGTCAATTAGTGAGCAAGCACCAGAGAGGTGTCGCTCATAGCAAGACTTAAGGTGTCCCCCAAACATAGCAATGCTCAAGGCCTCCTGGTGTCGCCCAAGGCGCCTGACCAGCCTCCTGGCATCACTTGAAGCACCATCACAGTCTCCTCCTGGCGCCGCCCAACGTTTAGCGCCCAATAGACCCTCTCACTTGACCAACAGGCGTCGCCCAAGGAAGAAAACGAAAAAAAAAAAAAAGGAAAGATGCAAGGGGCGACACCCAAAGTAAGCCAACAAAGAGAGAGAGAGAGAGAGAGAGAGAGAGAGAGAGATAAGGGAGGCGGCGCCCTGCAAACAAGAAAAAAAAAATAAGAAAAGGTGAAGGAAGCCCACGACCAACAACTGTGACAGGCAAGAAAAAAAAAGAAGAGAAAGGGAGAGAGGGGCGGCGTCCAGCAGCAAGCAAGATAGAAGAAAGAGAAGAAAAAAAAAAGAGAAAGGGAGAAAGGGGCGGTGCCCAACAGCAAAAACAAGAAGAAAAAAAAAAGAGAAAGGGGAGGGAGCTCAAGAGCCAGTAGCCAAGCCAAAAGGAAAAGAAAAAAAAAAGTCAACAAAAATGGGCGCCCAATCAACCTTAAAAAAAAAGAGAAGGAAAAGAGTCAGCAAAAAAAAATTTATGTTTGATACCGATCAATACAGTGGAGTCTTGAAGACGAGAAAGATTTTGACTCACTCCAATGAAAACAAAGCACATGCCCACGAGCCTTTCCTCTCGAAAAAGTCAGAGGCTATAGAGGCATGGGGGGCAAATGATGAGTCCGAAATTAACTAGACCAAACCCAATAAAAATAAGCCGAGAAAGCCCAAAGAAAAGTCCAAAACCAGATGGATTGACCAAGTAGTCAAGTGTGAGTCCAAAACAGAGACCAAGCTCATCCTCAAAGGGGGCGTCACTCAAGGGACCAAATGGGCACCGCCCAAGGTGCCCAAGGGGTGCCACCCATGTGGTCTCAAGTGGGCGCCGACCATGCCTTGCCCATCCTCCCCTCCTCACTTCACTCCAATGCAAGTCCAAGATCACTCCGGGTCCAAGCCCAAAGTCAAATACGAGCTCAGTCCTGTTCAAGACCCTCCTCCGAAGAAATAGGAGCACGAGGGAGAAAATATCAGGATAGTCACGAAAATCTCCTACCATAGTTGTACTTACTAAAACAGTAGAAATCTTCCTTCTCACGTCACCGCCCCATCACACCTATATAATGTAAGCCCTCTCCAGATAAAGGGCATGCTCTCATAACCTTGAGATCCCTATACACACTACACCTTCCTACACGCATTGCTCTTTCTCTGTCTCTGTCTCTCTCCCTCTCTCTCTCTCCAAAGCATTGTAATACTCCTGGAGAATACTCACTCCGGTGACTTCACTCATTAATAAAAGATCTAGGCCA